GGGGGAAGGGGGGAGGGGGGGAAGGGGGGGGAGGGGGCCCCCCCCGTGTCGCCGCGGGCGGGCTGTCGTCTCCCCGGGGACGCGGCGGTGCCGGGAGCCCGTGGCCCAAACGGGCTGCAAACGGCGGTAAATCCTGGGGTGAAACGCACAAAATGCCCGCTCCTTCTCCCCCAGCTACTTAGGTAAAACGAGCCGACGACCCCGCGGGGGAATGTTTTCAGTCACTCCGAAGAAACTTGTGCAAGTTGAGCATCTTTTCTTCTTGCAAAAAAAAAAAAAAAAAAAGAAAAAAACTTCTTGGAGCTGCTGCTGCGGTTCCAGAGGAACGAGGCGCTCGCAGACTTGCTGCGAAACCAGCAGCGTGGGTAACCCTCCACAGCTTGCGCTAAAGCATTGAATTGCTTCTGTGAAATTGTTTCAGCAGCATGCGAGCTTTGACCTTTTTTAAAATTGATGGGGAGGAAGAAACTTGACAAGTCCAGTTGTTAACATGCCCCTCATTCAGCTGCAAGAGTTTTTCGGGATTATCGTGCAGCTCTGGACACTATCACTGTACTAACACCAGCAGCAGTCTTCTGCTGAGAAATATAATAATTGCATAAGGTGAACAAGACCAGTATCAGGTTTTCTTGTCAAGATGAGCTGGGGAAAGGCTGTTAGAACGATGAAAGCTTTCCTGCAGCACACGTTAAACTTGAGTGTGGAAACTGGTGCTAAGATAGGTGTTGATGGAAAAATGCTTCAGAGTTTTGCCTGATAGTCAGGAGTTATAACATCTCTTCTGCATTTTTCATGATTGCTGCTGTTGTTGTTCCTTTCCTCGTAAATAAAATGGATAGCTAAAGTATATATTTTATTTTTGCTTGTCTAGATGGTTCAAGAGGAAATAAGCTTAAACTGATGCTTCAAAAACGAGAAGGTAAATAAAGAGACAGAAAATTGCTTTCCCATATTCTTCTGTTGATAAAAACTCAGTTGCTATGGATCAAAACTTTAAATGTGGTTGTCATTTTTCCAGCTCAAACAGTGGAAGTCAGAGAAGTAGTATATATGTATACACTACTACATACAATATAGTTGTGTGTGTGTACATATATATGTGTATATACATACACACACACACCAGTTGACAGCTGGTAGTGTACAAACACTCTTGCTGTGTATCATACCAAAAAACTCTTATTGCACATACAGTGCCAACTCTGTGGAGCTGGTGCCTGCCTGTTTGTTTTGAAATAGTTACCTGCAATATTGGAGGCTATGCTTATCACAACATCCCTCCTCCTCTTTCAACATCAAAAGCCAACCAGCTGAAAACCTGTAGCAGACCTACATTTTGCGCTGCATGTCTGACTGTCATTTACCAGGATATAATGCATACCTTTTCCGGTGTATGCATACTAGTCGTGACACTTATTTGTTACACTCTGGGAGGTCACAGGTTTTCTCAAGGAGTTAAAACCCATGGAAATGCTGATGTCCCAGCTGCAGAAGAGAAAATGTGCAAATTAGAATTGCTTGTTATGCCTTAACTTGTTCCCTGTGTCCCCTTGGCCCTCCATACACTTCCTTCTTGGAAGACTGCTCTCTCCACAGGAAATATTATGGCTGAGGGCCCAGTATGCAGATGAAGCGAAGGGCTCACTAGTTGAGGGAAGGGGGTGGAAATGGGAGCTGCCTGGGGACAGGCAGCCCTGCAACAGATGGAGAGGCAGGCTGAAACACCCAAGAAGTTATAGCGACCTGCCTCCCCTCAGCCTGCTCTATGGTTGAGGCAAAGAACTTAACACCTATAGAGAGGTGACGGCAAATCTCCCGCTTTCTGGAAGTCGTCTTAACTTCTCCCTGGGTTTTTCCTGTGCCTTCACCCACACCTCTTGTCAATCCTAAAAAGTATGTCCCTGGTGCTGTGCACCAGGACCATCTGTCTGTTTTCTTTGCACTTGGGCTGTCTATCTCACCTAATTCCCCTTTTCCAAATGAGCAGGATAAATACACAGTACTGGTCATCTTGTTGGTACTGTGCCTTTTGCGACTCTCATTTATGTGACATTTGTTCAACTCTTGGTTCCCAGTAATATCACCCAGCTCAAGTGAATGGCCAGCTATCAAAATTTCCAACTCATCATCACAGGGCAACATGCTCTTTCCCACTATTCCTGCAACAACTCACCTATCCCTCCTACCATTTTCTCTCTTCCCACTGCAGTCCTCTGCCTCCTGCTGTGATGCTGTCTGTTTCCTACTGCAGCAGTTCTCTCATCTCCACCCTCCTCCTCCTCCTGCCTCTGGCCTCTTCCCTCACATCCACTGAAAATCCACATCCTTGTCTCTTGTCTCTCCCTTGTTGGGACAAACCCTGTCAAGCCAAGATGTTGCTCCTGCTCCACACACAAACTTACTATTTCTCAGGAAGAGCAAACATACACCAACAACATGAGAAGACTTGTCTCCTCAGCATGTGGCTAGGCAGTCATCATACGCATACCTTTCAGAGGAGTAAACTCCTCTAGCAGCAGCACACAACCTACCTGTTAGGCATGGGGTAAGCTGAATAGCACATCTGAGGCTGGCAGGATGAAGATGTTCCTGTGCATTCACCAAGTTATGTGCTACCTGCTATGAAAGCCTGAGGTATCAAAGGGTTGTTATTCTCAGACATACAGTGCTTAGCAGCACTCATTATTTCAAAGCTACGTGTTTACACAATATATTCAGAAATACATACGTACACTTTTGTATGTGCCTCTCCCTTCACCTAAATAAATTTTAAGTGTTTCTCTAGCCTCTTTGGGCTTTTTAACTTCACCTGTCATTTTCTTTCCCATTCAAAATAACAGCAGCACATGGAGATGATTCTTCCAATCTGTTGTTAAAGCACTACATAATGCTGAATATGCTCTGTCAGTTTTGGTTTATTTGTTTAAATGCCTTACTTAGCTTGTATCTTTGAGCTCAAAATAGTTGATAAAAAATTCAAGAGAATGAGGGAACCTGAGAAATCTTATTATACTGGTGATTCCAATTTTTATTACTGTTACTGTTGTTACACACATAGCTCTGCAAAGCACAAAGGTGATGAGATAACAAAAGTGTCTTTAGTGTAATACATTTCAGGGCAATTAAAAACTTCCTGGCGTGTCTTTTGGGGGGAATTAATTTCAGCCCCTGTTGCCATTAAGCCTGAGGTGTCAGTGAGAGAAAACAAGGCCAAAGAGTTCTTAAGCAGCTTGAAACGCCAGAAGCGCCAGCTATGGGACAGAACTCAACCTGATGTGCAACAGTGGTACCAGCAGTTCCTGTACCTGGGATTTGATGAAGCGGTGAGTACAGAACTTTCGAGTATTTTTCAGAATTCAGAGTTAGCGGATGTGAGTGTGGATGCATACTCACAGGAGCACGCAGGTGAGTGTAACAGTAAAGAATACTGCCTAGGGGGAAGCTGGCCTGTTTCTGTTCACAAATTTGATACTGTAATTTTCTTCTAAGTACTAGATGTTGCACAGAAATACAAGCTCAGTATTTGTTAGAAATGTCCACATTATTTTATTAACAGAGACAATGCTATTAAAAAGCTTTAATGGAGTTCTTGTCTTCCACTGAACTTAGAATTAATAAATTGTAGCCAGATACAAGAACCTTGAGAAATAGACATAGAGTAATCAACTGTACTTCAGGAAAGAAGTCTGGCAGTCTCAACCTAATTAGTTTGCTTTTAAACACACCTTAAAATCCACACAAAGCTGGGCCTGATTGCCATTCTTCAATAGAATTGTGCTAACACTGCATAAGATAGGCATGTGCCTGCACAGTGTGGTCAGCTCCTAACCATTACAAGAACTGGCAGCTATGCTTCAACTCTAAAACCTGAAAGGAAAACTATTTGATAACGTGCAGCCAATTTTCCTTCTAGTGATAAGGATATATTTTTTAAAACAGTTAATTTGTAAAAACATTGGAGTGGAATTGAGAGTTCCCAGCTCATATGCATACTGCACAAAGCTCTACTAAATAGGTCACTGAAATAGAGGGAAAAACGTGCATGTAGTTGCAGTCCTATGTGTGAATAATTAGTACATAAATAAGAGGTAAAAATAGTTACAGATGTTGAATTCTTGGCTTTTGTCAGCCACATGAATGTATTTAATGAGATTGAATTGGCACAAGCAAGCTGTAGTGCCTACTATGTGGATTGCTTATGAGATGAATGCACTCATTTTTAAAGCTGGAACAATTAAAAATCCTTTGCTTGGACTGAAATAACGAAAGATACATTTTTTTGTTGCTTCTGGATATTATGCTGATAAAAATTACTTTTTAACTGCATGGCTATACCCAACACGCAATAGCAAAAATAGGAAAAGTGATTTTGCACCTCAGAAACTGAAGACTGTAGGCAGTTACTAAGAGGTAACTAACACAGCATGCTATGCAGATAAGATGCACTCTCCTCTGAGAGTGTCTGTATGCATTTATGAAATGCAGCCTCTTGTGGGATACAATGAATCCGCTTGGTAGGTTTTCTTGAGTAATAAGATACAGTTTTAACAATGAAATAACTGTTTGTTCCAGCACGGCTTTAGAAGGGACTTAGGCCATACTTATCCATTGTGTATTTTGCAAAACTTTTTTCAAGTCTTAGCCAAAAATATTTCCAAAGAGTCATTCAGATGGGAAGGCTTTGGCTTGGCAACTATTTGATATTCTTGTGCGCTCTTTTTCCTCTGCTGTTGTGAGCAGATACAGAATCGAACTGCCTACTACATTTCTACAGCTAGAAGGTTGCACTGTATGTTCATTTTTACCCATGGAAAATGAGGGTAAAACACGAGGGACATCATGACTAAAGGGCACAGGGCAACGGAGAACCAAGCCTTTAGTTTTTAAGTACAAAACATTGAAATGTTTTTATAGTTCAGCACTGAAAAGGTAAAAGAAACATGAAAGGTACCAGTGCATATTTCAGTTGAAAACTCTCTGTTTAAGCACTGTATAGTGGGCAGAGCGTGTGAATGGGGATCCCAGGTGAGGCTAGTCAGGACAATTAAGGCCTATTAGCACACTCAAAGCACTGATATATCCCATAGAGAAGGTAGGTGCAAGTCACAAAACCCCTCAGATAAAAAGATTTAGTTTTGTCAAATATGCAAAGGATCAGGATTTCTGAAACAGACAAAAAGAACCTTTTGTACCTTTTTTGCTTTATTCTCTTTGTTGTAAAGTTTCAGGATTGGAAAGCAGTGGGTTTTCTTTTTTTTTTCCTCAGAAATTTGAAGATGACATCTCCTACTGGACAAGCTTAGGCCGGCAGGGTAACGAATACTACGGTGGATATTACCAACACCACTATGATGAAGATTCACCAATTGGTCCACGGAATCCACATACCTTCAGGCATGGAGCAGGTGTCAACTATGATGATTACTAATGCCATGTATCCTGCTATAGTTAGTATCAATATGGCTGTGTTGGGCTTGGCTGAGTCTTCCCTCAGCCAGTGGTGCTGCTTTCCGACTAGCTATTCACGTAAAACAGCAAGAATAAAGGAACTGCGAGATGCAACATGGCTTTTTTTTTATAGTTACTTAGTAGTACACTTTATATAAAGTGTTATAGAAATAAAGCTTTTTTGATAAAATAAATAGCTTTCCGCTTATTTGGTAGAGTTTGTTGGCAAGTTTCATTCCAAAGCAGTGTACTACAGGAAATTAGTTTTTAAAGGGCTTTTTCATGTTTGCTTTCCTACAATTCATTGCCCAATTCCATTATATCATCCAGTTTGGCATATATCATATAAGCCAATATATTTCAGATGTGCTTGCTCATTCAGATTTGTGTCAGCAAATAAATCCAATTATTCCAGGGGAAAAGAAAAAAAAATTCCTCCCAACTCAAATGCTGCCTTGTTGCTTCCCTTGCTGTTTCCATACCTACTGCACACAGCCTTCCAAAGTTATGTGATATGGCACTTCTGCAGTTCCTGTTGGGGCAAGGAGACAGATGTTCACAAAAGCTAAATTTATTGCAAGGAAGCCTACCTCTAAAGCCTGTGAAAAGAATGGATTCTCCAAGGCAAGGGTCCATAGCAGGAACCTGACTTCAGAAGTAACAGTTGAGATACAGGGCACCTAGCCTAAGTGGCCCCGACCCCTCTCAGGCAAAGGTTAGCTCTTATGAATACTCCCCATTGTGTCCTTTTCACTTGGCTGTAAGCTTTCAGTCTAGCTTGAAACGTGGAATAAAATAACAAAATAAGCCATTTAAAAATGGCACATGCAAATGAAGGGCCTCCATATTCATAGATACAGATGTTAGCATCAGATACTAGCCAACACAATCACCAGACATTAATTTCATACCATAAAGCTGACACTACCCCCAATTCAGCCTATATTCTATACAGATAGGCTGGGAATGAAAGTGTATCCGAGACAGCATTCATTAATGTTAAACACAGTGGATTAAACGGGGGCGGATGTGGTTGGGTGCATTCAGAACCCAAAATTACGTCCAACTTTTCTACCAGAGCAACATCAACAATGTTGCTTTTTATCCCTTGCTGCTCTGGGGATAGTCCTTATGAAGACCTAAGGAAGCAATAATAGGGAGATTTCAGCTGTCCTGGGCTTTGGAAGCAGTTTGGTTGAGGAAGGGACTTCTGCAGTTTGGCAAAGGCAGAGGACTGGGAAGGGACAGGCGAGGAAGGCTGGTTAGTTCCATGATTTTTGGAGCAGGAGAGTCAGGACAAAGAGATGAAATGTGTACCACAAGCTACAACAGAGTCACAGAATAAAGGCAGCAGGGATGCTTTAGCTGTAACTTACAGCTTACAAGAAGTTTCCAAAGCATGAATTGTGGTAACATCAGTCTTTACACTTCTCCTACTTCTTCCATACTTCTTTCATAATTTAGTATATTTCCTAATGTTTTTTGCAGCCCCTGTTGTGTGATGGACTGGTGTCCAGGAGAGGCAGTGCAGCACTATCCAGCCCCCTGCAGGAATGTTTCTAGGGAGGCAGACCAGACTGAAGAAACATGTTAGTCACTTTTTTTCTGCACACAAGAATATGCACTAATTTAATATGCTGCCCCCCACCCCCCCAAAAAAAAATCAGCTTTCTTCTAGGTTTTGGAGCACTCACACTTGGAAACAGCCTTGCCAGTTAAATCAGTTTAAACTGGTGCATTTCCTAGGGTAGAAAGCAGTTTATTCCAAATATGGAATAGCCATTTATCCCAATTCAAGTACATACTCTTGCACAGTTGGAAGAAAAACTATTCCTGGAAGAATACTTCCATTTTGTGTCCTATCAAAGAAGTGAACAGGATTTGGCAATGTTTTAACTGTGCTGATAATTTCCATCATTTCCCAGAGTTTACATCAACTGGGAATTTAGACCTGCTGAATAAGACAGGATACAAAAAAAGTGTTGTAAATAAATACCAGTCCTCTAGGCCTTTGTAAGCTGTGTCCATTCCTGCAGGCTGACTCAGTCCAGCAGCTTTCCATGTTTCACAAGCTCACAAAAAACTTTCCTAGATAATCCAGAAGAGAGATTTTGTAAAGAAAAAACAAGCAAAGAAAACAAAAACAAAATCTCCCACAAACTGTCTTTTCCATTACATTGTACTGCGTGCTGAAGGTTCCCAGTTAATCCATTTTCTTGTGGAGAAGTCCATCTGACTTGGTGTACAGCAGTCACAATGATACCAAAGCACATGCAGTAAGCTACAAAGAAAATAGGTATGACTCATCACAGGTTTGGGGGGGGGGGGAAAGGAGAAAAAAATCTGTTCAAATAGCACCTACAGTTTGTTAAATAACTATGGAGTGCCTCTAAGTTAAACAAACTTCATTTGAAAATTTCTGCCTCAAGACACAGACAAAACTGTGCATCCCCTCCCAAGCAATCAAAACCCAGAGCAACTGAAAGGAGCAGCATTTCTATTTTGCTGTGCAAATGGTACAGAGCTCTTCACATCCTCATCCCCAGCCATCCTGGGGCTTTGACATCCTGTAACCCCGCCACCAAAATTGTCCCTTTTGCCATCCTACAGTACAGGAACAGTTTGGCCATGGTCCGGCTTTTAATTTTTCAAGATCCGATGATGTCATATGCCTCAGTTTGGGGCTGCCAGCCCAATGAGTCAGTCAGACTGACATGGCAGTCCTGGCTCCTTTGCTGACAAGACCTGAGCATCACTTTTTTTCCAAACCACAGCACTACTGCTGTCTGTGACCCCACAGCCACTGTCATATACTCTCCCATAGCTATACCAAGAAGATCTTCTCCCTCTCCAGGTATAGGCTGCTCATCCTTAGCCTAACTTATATCTTTTCATATTTTTTCTTTTTGGCCTTTGTCCCAGAAGTTCCCATTTGTAACAAGCACACACATGGGGAGGTAGGAGGGGACAGGTGCTTTTATCCCAGGACCGTTTGCCTGACAGAAGATGTAGGCTTCACTGCTCAAATTACGTCTTGAAAATAACCTCTTGAAAAGGGGCGACTGAAGAGAGACATTCGTAACTGCCTGGTTGCAGTTATGACTGTTAGCTGCCTAGTGAACCCTCCAGACTCCATACAGACACCCAGACAAAAGAGAAGACCACCAGAGCATGATTGTACCGGGTAACAAAAAAAAACCTAACCAAAGAACATAGTCTAAGCATGAGGCTTCTCTAGACTATACGTTCATGAACTATTTTTCAAAACAAATTACGTCTGCAAGCCGCACTGTGGCTTGTCTGTAGACCAGCAACACAGTTCACAAAGCTTTTGAACAGCCCTGCATGTAGAAATAAATGAAAGTGAAACATCAGGTCAAAAAACCAAAAACAAACAAAAAAACAACCCCTCCCCACCTATGGGCCTCACACTGTGATAACTTCGAGGCTGCTAAAGTGGTCCTTGGGAGGTTCAAGTAACCCACAGTAGTGGATGCCTTGCACATCTCTCCTACTACGAGACTGACTTCACTTGCCAGTGCCAAGCTGGCTGGTTCACCACAGACCTCTGCTACGTTGCATATTCCTTACTGAGAGAGGAACACTTTCATCGAACACCAGCTTAGCTGCCTTTGGTGCATATCAGTATGACTGAATACACACATCAAATCTGGTCATGTTAGTTTTACCTTGCCTTCCCAGCTAAGTGACAGCAGAAAATCCCAACTCTCAAATTTTCTGAGAACATGCATAAACAATACATCGTGTTCAGGCATGGAAATCAGAACACGGTTTGGCTTCAGGTACTCCAGAGTCCTGTTATTCCCAAGCTTTCGGTCCTGCCACCTCTGTATTCCACCACCTTCCTCCATTAAAGGTGGCTCTTCTGGAACGTTTCTCAGATGCGGCTCCCTGCAAATTTGATGCTTTCTTTCTCCTACTGAGGAAAAATGTAATGCCAGATGGGAACACAGAGAACCAATATAAGGGTTTGCAAGGCAAACCCTCATCAGCCTTCTCTCAGGCTCAGTTCAGACAGGATAAAACTTGAAATTACCCTGAACTTTCCCTCTTAAGCATCAGAAGACTCTGTTTTAACACCCACAATTTATGCCTTTTGACCCTGCTAGAAGACTACTCACCTGCTTCAAAACAACAGCAATCTCAGTTGTTTCTGGAAAACACTAGGAAGAGAATGGGAACTGAACCAAGAACCACTGAAACAAAAGCTAGAAGCAATACAAGGAAAGTAACAAATCACTATAGTCTGTCACTCATCACACATGGGTTATATCAGTACCAGCCATTTGTCCTCCGCCTGATTTGCTCCATTTATGAAGAAGGTCAGGCAGTGAGGTAACCTAAAAAGCTTGTAAATTACTAACTTCAGTATCCAAACATTCAGATTTCCCCAAAGAGTTCTCTGAAAATGCACTTTTTGTGCTACAGTCTCTAGAAGCACGCTTGCTCCAGTACAGGTCACGTATTTTGCATTGAAGTCATGGGATTAAGTGAAAAACAGTCCTGGAAGCAATAGCTGGAACCCACAACTCCCCTGTTCTCGATGGCTGCTCTAATTGCTGGACTCAGATTGCACCCCATGTTTATCAACTCTTTGTAAAGAAAGGACTTTGAATCCTTTGGCATCCAATGGCACAATTTGAACGAGGAGAAAAGATAAGCAGAAAGAGCACCTTCCTCAAAATATAAAAGGTTAAAAGGTTAGTGCTAAAAACACTGCACTGGGAGATGATAGCTATAGCCACAAGACCATTATAGAAGTGGGTACTACTTCTGCGACTATCCAGCTGTTCTTTTGTGTATCCAGACAGGCTGTGCTTTGTGCCTGTAATCAGTAGCAATAGGCTGGAATAGGCAGATTTGGAGCACACACATCAGGGTGTACTTTTCAGGCAACTTAATACGCAAAAAGTGCCTAGAATATCCAGAAGTATCATGCATCCAGAAAAAGGCTTCAAGCGAAAAGCAGACCCCTGCTCTGCCCCAAGCACCTCAGTTGTGACAAGATGGAGGCAACGTGCAGTAAGTAAATTCTAGGCAGGTGACTATCTCTCAGTTAAGACGGGGAAACGCTCCCTGGCTCTCCATTTTGGTTGAATGGCAGATTTCCACTGGAAAAAAACCTGAGCCTGTGGGCAGGGAAGGCACCGCTGGGCTCTAAAAGGACAATGCAGACCTGGTCCAGGC